CCCCCCACTGACCCCACTGACTGATGATCTTCCGGTAAGTTCCGCCATACTGTACCTCGGCTGACCCCGAATCGCTCTGTAAAAATTCTTTGTCACGATGACGACAATACCATGGCTAATCTTTAGCACAGGAGTGTCGTCATGATTTCGTCACTGATGATCTTCCGGTAAGTTCCGCCACACTGTACCTCGGCCACCGACCCCGAATCGCTCTGTAAAAGTTCTTTGTCACAATGGCGACAATGCCATGGCTAATCTTTAGTACAGGAGTGTCGTCATGTGACAAAAAAACAAACCATGACGGCATACCTGTACTAAAAATTGCCCGTGGTATTTTCGTCATCATGACGAAGAATTTTTACAGTGCGCTGAAAATTAACTGAACAGAAGAGTCCAGAGCAAAAGCACTTATTTTATGGAAACTGAAGATAGGTACCGGTTACCAACATGACTGTGGTAAACTCCGCCACACCGGCCACCGAAGTCTAAAGTAGGCATTTCCTTCTTACCGAACGCCGCACGCTATATGCGTCGTGCGGGTCGGCGGGTCGTGTCAAGTGTGTCTGAACTTTCACCGTCTAGAGACAAAAGAAGACAAAGAAGCTCGAACACTTGCAGAAACTACAAGCTATGCAAATGTGCCGACACACGTGCCGTACGTTTTCATGCGTAGGAGGGATCGTCCAGAAATTACGTCCATTTTTCTCAGATTCATTCGGCCAATCGGGAATCATGCGTACACCTGCCTGGGAATCATCAGGATGAAAATTAATCAAAATCAACGGAAATCGCTTAAAATAAGCGGGAAACTAGTGGAACTCGTACAAATTAGTCGAAATAAGCCTTTTCTACCACTAGAAAATCTAAGAAATGAAACATCATAGACTAAGTGGACGGGAATCAAGGATTTCGGGAATAATGTGTACACATTAAAAGGGAGTTATTGCCCCCTCGCATTCGTCGAATTGAGGGAGCTTGGCGCCTGCGAGACTCGTGGTAGGCCACACCGCAGTACTCGCATGCACTGCAGGCAAGATGTTGCCTACCCATCGGGCGCTATAAGTTTGCATACGATTAACTTGACAGGTTCAAAACGGAGAATGACAGACGTACTTTTTGGATGATCCCTATCGGCCCTAGCCTCCACTGTCAAAAATACTGTACCAAAGTACAGCAAATGGAGGGAATGTTTGTAGAAATGAGGCACATGATCGTTGTACTTTTTTGCCGTAGTGCCCAAGCCTCGATGTCAAAGGATACTGTACGTTACGTTGTACCTACTGTACCTTACTCAGTACAATGCGATCAGGCAAGGACTTGACCAGTGCGTACTGTGCTTTTGTGTTCGTGCGTAACGCTCCTCGCGCCCGAACGTAACGCCGAGCGTAACGCTTTGTTTTTCCCTTGTATTTTGAACCCGTCTCGCTTCGGTTTTTGGGGAGGACTCGGACCAAGTCGGAAACGACTTTCGTTTTCTGTCTCCTTACGTAACGGCGTAACGACATTGACTACCACAGCAAATGTTTAGCTTTAACAGCTTAAAATTTAGCTAGTGTCTGGCCAGCTGACATTCAGCTACAACAGCTGAGGGTTTTTTTCCCGTGAACTCGAGGAAATTTTCTGTTGAAAATTTGTAACTCGGCGAAACAGAATGCGCTCCGGTAGGAAGACGAACGAAAACCAATAGTGTACTTCGCCTAACGTAGGGAGAAGAATAGCAGGCGGAATAAGAACGTTCACCTAACTACCATTCCGCTTGATGTTCTACCTCCGTGGTTCTACCCACTAGCCTTCTTCCTCCACTATTCGAAGTACAGTACCTTGAACGGAAACTACTCGAAAGAGGAAAGTTCAATGTAATCAATTCCACCCACACGAACACGAGCAGGCGACAAAGCTACGACTTGTTTTTTCCGCAACATACCGACTGGGGCCACAAGTAGGTAAGCAGGCGAAAGGACCGTATTACCTAATTTAACTAGTAGCAATTCTTAATTTTGCAAGTTACAAAACTGCAGAGCTCAATAACCAATGTGACAGATTTCACATGTCAACCCTGGGGAAGAAAAATTAAGTGGCAAAGTGGCGCGAAATGAAGTGGTTTAAGGCAGTGTCCAGAACAAGACGCGACAGCGAAAGTTATTGAGAGTGTTAATGTTCCATGACCTATGACCTATCGCTGGTGCTACTCGAGAGCTACTCTGCCTAGTTGTGCTTGGGCGCTTCACCTCCTTGCCACTTGAAATGTCAACATCCAGCTAAGGAAGAGGGCAATCAAGTGACACTTAATTGCTACTTCAGTTGCACTTTGAAACTTGATTGTTTTTCACGGAATGTGACGTCACCTGACTTGAATAATAGTGCTGCATTGGACCAGGTTAGTGAACACCTGATTACCTCAGGCAGGCGGACACCCTTCGGGTAAGCCTCAGGTCATGGGCAGTTCGCCGAGCGGAAGTGCCTGATTAAGTCAATCACATTAGCCTACGCGGCCAAGGTATCGCGGGCGCCGCGGTCGGCCAGGTTAGTAAGTGCTAGTTGTCCACATAGTTCAGCACGAGGCCTCCGCTGGCCCAGCACAAGCTTGCCATGGATATCGATGTAGGTGACGTGACGGCCGCGGCTCGACCGGCCGACTCAAAAAGCGTCGTTTATTCTGATGAAGTGATGTGAAGGCGACTCCGAGATCTCGAGTACAACGGATTATTCCGGAATGCCCCAGATTGCTCGTGGGTTACGACCGGACTGTCTCGAACAACCATCGAAATAATATCAGGATTACCGCAGCATCTCCCCCGGATGGACACAGGACGTGTCGAGCGGATGATCCAAGTAATTTTCCCCCTCGGTCTGATGTAAACTGGCCCGGTTGCAGATGAATATCTACCACGGCGAGCTGCGCGCGCGGCAGCGGCGCGTGGACGCGGGGCGCGAGGCGCGCGTCGCAGCCGGGGCGTACGACGGCGTGCCGAACGTGCAGCAGCTGCTGGCGGGCAGGGACGTGCTCGTCACGGGGGGCTCGGGCTTCCTCGGCCGCGTGCTCCTCGAGAAGCTCCTGCGCAGCTGCCCCGACATCGGCACCGTGTTCCTGCTGCTGCGGGCCAAGCGCGGAGTGCCACCTGAGGAGCGCGTCGCCGGCATCGTCAACGTGCCGGTACGTTGGGTGAGGTTGTCTGGCGGCCGGGTGGGCCGGGCGCAGGATGCGACCCTGACGACTCCGTGTGCGCGCAGCTGTTCGACCAGCTACGCCGGGAGCAGCCGACGGCCATCTCCAAGCTGGTGCCCGTGGCCGGGGACTGCGCGGAGCTGGGCCTCGGGCTGTCCCCCGAGGACCGCGCCATGCTCCAGGACCGCGTGTTCATCGTGTTCCACGGCGCCGCGTCCGTCCGCTTCGACGACCCCGTGAGGAAGGCGGTGCTGCTCAACACGCGCGGCGCCCGGGAGGTGGCCGCCCTCTGCGCCGGGATGCGCCAGCTGCAGGTGAGTCCGACCGCGTCCTCGTGAGGCGAGCGCATGGGCACGCGCGCGTCCTCGCCTTTCTAACGTCCAGTCGCTTTGCAGTCGCTGGTCTACATATCGACGGCCTACACTAACACCAACCTCCGCCGGATAGAGGAGCGGCTGTACCCGACCGAGCTGGACTGGCGGACGGTGATCAGCGCCGTGGAGAACGCCGACACGGCTAACACCATGGACCTTCTGGGGCACAAGTAAGGCATGGCCGCGGTGGCCCATGGCCGGTCTCCTGCGTCAAGTGTAGCTAGGGATGATCGTGTGTTCGCAGGTTGATCGGCTTCCACCCCAACACGTACACCTTCAGCAAGGCGCTGGCCGAGCAGGTGATGGCCGATGCGGCAGCGACTCTCCCCGTCGTCATCGTCAGGCCTTCAATAGGTGAGCCAGCCGCCCCCGCCGCGATTCCGACCCGAGTCCGGGTCCCGGGCTGAGACTTAGGGGCCGTTCACAAAATACGTCACACCTTGGGGG